TCAAACAGCGTCTGTCTCGGAGCGAGCGGCTGAATAAGAAATGCTGTATCATGTCAGCTACACCTAAGGTGGCAGCCCCACCAACATGATGTAGGTATCGCGACCCCGGTAAGGTAGCATACTGAAACCCCCAACATTACTCAGAAAAACGAAGAAAGAGAAAACAACGAACGGAATTTTCGGCAACCGACCCGGCAACGAAATAAGGACAATGAATGGAAACTCGGTACTTGGAATGTCAGAACCTTAAATGAACCTGGACGAGCGGGTCTTTTGGCTCGTGAACTGCAAAAAGTGAATGTGAGCGTAGCTGCTATTCAGGAAGTACGGTGGCCTAGATCCGGAGAACGTGAATTCCGGGCGGTGGATCCCATCGCCAACACTTCCTTCAAGTATCATATCTATCACAGCGGTGGCGCTAGGGCAGAACATGGAGTAGGGTTCATAGTGATCGGGAAACAGATGAAGCGTGTTATGCGGTGGAGACCGGTAAGCGACCGCATCTGTGTATTAAGGATTCGGGGCAAATTCTTCAACTACAGCCTGATCAACATCTATGCGCCAACCAACGATAAATCCGATGACGTGAAGGACGCGTTTTATGACAGTCTCGATAAAACTTATGATGAGTGCCCAAAACACGACGTAAAGATTGTAATCGGAGATGCAAATGCGCAGGTCGGGAGGGAAGATTTCTTTCGTCCAATCATTGGTACAGAGAGCCTACATACAGTAACCAATGATAACGGCCTGAAACTGATAAACTTCGCCGCTGCTAGAGGTATGGCCATCAGTAGCACCTACTTTGCACGCAAGAATATCCGAAAGCACACCTGGAGACACCCAAATGGCGAAACTTGCACCCAGATCGATCACATGTTGGTGGATGGCCGGCACTTCTCAGATGTCATTGATGTAAGGACTTTTAGGGGGCCTAACATTGACTCAGATCATTATCTTGTTGTCTGCAAAATTCGGGCGCGTCTATCGACCGTTACGAATTCAACGAACCGGAGATCGATGCGTTTCAATATCCATCGCTTGTCAGTAGAAGGTGTTGCTGCAGAGTACCGCCAGAAGCTTGATGAGCGGATTAGCGAAATCAACGTGAACGAGGACCTCAACAATCTGTGGAACACAATCCACGGAGCGGTGAACACAACAGCACAAGAAGTGATAGGTACAGCTCAAAGACGACCACGTAATGGCTGGTTTGATGAGGAGTGCCAGAGGTTGACGGATGAGAAGAACGTTGCCAGAAGCCGGATGTTAGTGTCTGGTACCCGGCTGAACAGAGAGCGGTACAAGGTAGCAAGGGCAGCTGAGAAACGAACCCACCGCAGAAAGAAAAGGCAATACGAAGAACGCGTGATTGCTGAGGCGCAAGAAAGTATGGAACAGAACGATATGCGAAGGTTCTACGCGACTGTCAATGGTGTGCGGAGTAAAACAGCGCCATCTCCCGCCATGTGCAATGGCCTTGAGGGGAATTTGCTGACAGATAAAACAATGGTGGCTGCCAGGTGGAAAGAACATTTTAAGACATTGTTGAATGGAGAGAGTGAGGGAGTATCGAAGAACAGAGTAAACATCGCAGACGACGATCAAGCTGTGGAGCCTCCAACGCTAGACGAGGTTAAAAAGGCAATACGTGAGCTGAAAAACAATAAGGCTGCTGGGAAGGACGAGCTCCCGACCGAACTTTTCAAACACGGAAGTGAGCAGCTGCATCAAGCAGTCCACCGTATTCTAACGAAGATATGGGAGGACGAAGAACTGCCTGCTAGCTGGTTGGATGGCCTCATTTGCCCATTATTCAAAAAAGGGCACAGACTCGAGTGCGCCAATTATCGAGGAATAACTCTTCTGAATTCGGCGTACAAAATACTGTCACGCGTTCTGTTTAACAGATTGAGACCGCTTGAGGAGTCCTTCGTCGGTGAATACCAGGCTGGTTTTCGTGAGGGCCGATCAACGACGGATCAAATGTTTACCCTGCGTCGTTTACTCGGCGGTAAACAGGAGAATGGCATCTGGCGGCGTCGCATGAATCACGAGTTGTACCAAGTGTATAACGGTACGGATATAGTGAAGCTTATAAAACACGGCAGACTACGGTGGGCTGGGCATGTAGTGCGGATGCCGGAAGAACGACAAGCAAATATTATATTCAGCAGAGAACCCGGTAGAGGTCGTCGACTCCGGGGTAGACCTCGGACACGTTGGCTAATTGCAGTTGAGGAGGACATCAGGTCGCTAAACGTTCATGGCGACTGGAAGCGATTGGCTCAGGACCGAGTCCAATGGAGAAGAGTACTTCGTTCGGCGTTGAATCAACCTGGCGATTCGTAGCCCATCAAGTATCAAGTAAGTATGATACATAAATAGCAATAGCATGTTTTTAAGTTGTCTGCAACACGTTAAACTTGATAAAACACGAAATATGTTCCAAATCAAAAACCGTTTAAAACGTTTCTATTTAGAACTTTGATGTTCGAACTTTAGGCTTTTAGTTATATTTTTGTATATGAGATGTTGATAATTAACATGCACACATAGGAAAAATGGATCTGTCAAGTGGAATCTCTGATGCCGATAAAGTCTTGTGGTACAAAATTAAAAGGAACGGAAACTTTAGAAAGCGAAAAAGAGATTTGGTAAGAAACATACTCAAGGAAGCGCCTCTAAATGAAAGTGACATAAAAGATCCCGATCCCCATATGAAAAATTAAATCGATACTGGATACACTGAATACAACAATGCAACGATTGATCCTCATAGACCCGCAAATGATAACGAAGTTGCAGAAGACCATCATAAATTGGATATTAGCGAAGAAGAAGTAGACCTGGATTCTATTAAGGCAGATCCCCAAGAGTTCTGTAATGAAATTCGAAAATGGGCAGTCGATTATCAAATAAAACATACTGCTCTCAATGCTCTTCTACTCATCATCAAGAGTCACATACCGGATAATGTATTACCAAAATGCGCTAGAACCTTAGTACATACTCCAAGATCCACTGTTATTTCTTCTGATGAGCATCTTGGAGGCAAGTATTGGCACTATGGTTTGGAAAAAGTCTTGACTGATCATCTAACCAGGATTGATCACATCCCAGAGCAAGTGTCGTTAAATATCAATATTGATGGACTGCCTGCGTTTAAAAGCTCTTCGACCTCTTTTTGGCCAATTTTAGTCAATATACATGAACTAAGAGAAATTCTGTCACCACTAATTGTGGGGATATTTTGCGGAGGAAGTAAGTGAAAATAATAATACAATTACAGTCATAATACTGAACCTGTGAAATGCGTGCCGAACAAGCTCACCTTTCGGCAATGGAACACGCATTTTGCGGGCTCGGTAATATGATAGTTGCATAAGTCAGAATATCATCTCACTACTTGCTACAGGTAAACCTAAAGACGTGAACGCATTCCTGGAACCATTTGTTGCCGAATTAAATATAGTTCTAGAACAAGGAATCACAATCAAGGATACGAGCGTCAAATTGAAGCTACGTTGTTTTATTTGTGATACTCCAGCAAGATCTATGCTAAGAGGTTAAAACTTCATCACATTTTCTTCAATGTATTGTACATAATATTGTTTCAGGTGTTATCGGCCATAATGGGTATAACTCCTGTCTAAAATGTGTGACCGAAGGGGAATACTGCCATGTTTTTAGAACCATGACATATCCAGATATTAACGCAGCGCTAAGAAATGACCAAGAGTTTAGATCTCGTGCATATGAAGGCCATCATAAGCAGGATTCTATCTTGGAATCAATTGTTGGATTGGATATGGTTAAAGACTTCCCTATTGGAGATGCCCTGCACCTGATCGATCTTGGCATAACCAAAAGATTTTTGAATGGCTGGATGTGTGGATCTTTAAACAACCATGACGCAAAATGGTCAGCTCATCAAATCGAAACCGTATCGAGCTTTTTGCAGAGCTGTAAACTACCTCGAGAAATCAAAAGGCCCGTTCGAGGCTTGGACCAGTTACCACGTTGGAAGGGAGCTCAGAACCTTTCTTTTGTATCTCAGTCCAATTATCACTGCAAAATATTTTGAGAAGAAAGAGATATCTGAACATTTTTTTAAATTTCTATTGTGTTGTACAAATCTGCTCAAGGCATGACCAAACACCTGAAAACTACTTGGTAGCCAGAAACCTCATCAAAGACTTTTTAGAGGGGACGAAAATATTGTATGGTACCCAAATGTTTTGCAGCAACATGCATAACTTATCACATTTAGTGGATGACGTTGAAAGATTTGGTTCATTAGACTCATTTGATGCATATCCATTTGAATCCAAACTATATTATTTGAAAAGGTTAATTCGTAGTGGGAATATGCCCCTTTCACAAGTTGCAAAACGAGTCTGTGAAATTCAATCAAATGTTTCTAGCAAAATATTTGTAAAATCCAAAAGTGTCACACCGATTTTGAAAAGAAAGCAGTCCAAAGATGATGCCCAGCTTTTTCCGTATCCGGATACGGATATTTATTCATTCATTGATTTTGGCAACTTTTGTTTAGACACTAAATCTGACGCAGATCACTGGATTTTAACAGATAGATGCGAGATAGTTTCAGTTAAGTATATTGTTCATAAATCGTCGACTAATACCATTCAGTTGTAGGGAAATCCACTATGCAATATTTTTGATTTTTTCACCAAACCAGTACGATCATCATCACTGTACGTGTTCGGTTCTGATTTACAAATAAATTCTTCACAACTGTATGCGATGGAAAAACTGTCCAGTAAAATGGTTAAAATCGATTGTATTGACATCAACTTACCAGAATCGGTGTTTATTCCACTTATACACACTTTAATGTAAATGTTTTTGAGTATAATTTCTCATTGTTAATAAATAACACATCGCTTGCAATAATTTATTTCTCTACATATTTCAATATCAATACCTGTCGAACTGAAACACCGTAAACCAACAAATTATCGAATCCAACCGAGCTAATTAGATTTAAGTGGGACATCATCCAGACCAGCCGTTGAATCTGAATCTTCACGGTTTGCAACATCCTTCGAAAAACACTTTCGTTGACGAGTACAGTTTGCCCGCCGACCTTGCTTACCTTCCAGAAATCGTTGAACCTCAATATTTTTCTGACGGCTAAAGCAAGCGTCGTTGGCCTCCACAGTGTGTACAATATCAGCAGCACATACAATGCGTTGTATGAATGCAACGAATCCTGGAAAAGTTTCCTTGAAGCTTCTGTTATCCGCTGTAGATTCTGGCCCAGGAACCTTTCTTGAAAACCCTTTCCATGAGAATGGTAGAAGAATAGTTGGCACAAGCATTCTTCTCATGACAGTTTTGAAGAACGGAGATCCTTCGCACTTCCCGTTCAAACTGTATTCGGTATGGAAGAAACGGTATAACTTGTCAGTGTACATGCTATCATTCAAGTTCTTCTCCAACAATTTCAATCTGTTCTCATCTTGAACTGGACATAGATCAGCAAATTCCAAAAAGCATTCTTGGTTTCCTTTTTTCTCAGGTGCTGTTGATCCGGATTTTTTCGTTGACATTAATTTATCGATGTTCGCCATAAACAGAACTAATTTCTCCAATTTGGTTTCGATCCCATCAAGTCTAGTTTTGATTAACTCGAGTTCGCCGTTGAGATGACCTACGACTTCTGGTGATGGATTAGTCTGCTGATTTTCGACCTCAGAAACATCCGCAACAGCTGCTGCATTTTCACCGACCAATTCAGCGTAGCAGTCATATCCTAGTTCTATGTAACGTCTACCGTCCATATCCTGGATGATATTTGCTGGCTGCTGAACTTCCTCCATCATCGTTAAATGATAACCAATAGTAGTATTAGTATATAATATAATATAATAGTTATTATACTGAGAACCGTAAAACAAATGCAATGTACCTTTATCAACCGATGAAGATTAAATTTTATATTTAGGTTACTAGGTGAATTCACACTATTATTAAGACTGTAATGTCTTCAACTCACAGCTATAGACAAACTTGTCAAACGATCATATAACCTGTTTTTATATTAACTGTACTTTGGTAGGAATGATTCTGACAGCCTATTACATTTTAAGCTCTTTTCATGATGAAGTAATGAAATTGGGTTGTTAGCGGAATGCTAAATAAAACAGCAAAAAAGGTTATCTTCCATTTAATTCCACTTAATTTTGGTATCCGTGAAAGATACGTATTTCGACTACAATGTGCAGTCTTCATCAGTGTCATTCCCACTAAAGAACTTAAGTACTCATCTCCTAGGTAAAAAAGTCAAGATCATAGGTATAAAAATGAAACTACAATGTGTTGAATCGGAACCTACCTAACAAATAAAAACCAAAGATTTAAATAAGCTAAAGGAGAAAAATCTATACAACTCTCTAATAAAGAAATTCCCCAAAGGCTTGGTAGCCATCATAATGAAGTAATGAAATTGTTGCAGAAATGCAACAAAATTTAATGCATGGGAAGCAAGAGCAATATAATGGAGCAACAATAGAAAAGAGCCCATCAGCATTTATAAATAAACCGTTCTCAAGCCCTTTCCTCACAAAGCACTGGCTGCCCACAAAAACTAACAACATCATCGTATAGGAGAAACTTTCCCCTACCCTATGATTCTGTTGGTTTGGGCGGCCTTCGATTTATAAGGAAGGGCTAAAGAAAGGCTTGTTTACAAGTTTTACAAATACTGATGGGCCTTTTTCTATTGTTGCTCCAGAATTCATCAAATGCTGTCATTTCGTAAAATAGACTATAATAATTATTATTGTGATTTTGCCAGCTATCACACATAAATTTTGGATTATCTACCGGCGATTATTGTGATTGAACGTGAAAGAACTCAAGTAAAGTTTGTTGTTTCGTTCGTAATTACGTTAAGTGGATTCCCAGGAAATGAACTAGGATCGATTGTGTTTGTCTATTTATGTAGTGGAATAAATATTGATGCCCGTATCAGTACACGGGACAGCTATTATTATGTGTGAATATCTTGCCTCGTTATGCTCTGCAGGTGCTGTTGTATGGTTGAAAGTTGAAGGTTCACGAACCTGGATCGGTGGAATTGCCGATAATATCGTGTTTTTCAGTTTCATCGTTTGATTTGTGGATACTGCACTGTCTTCTACAAGCAGCTGCACGCAGAACGATTCAGGAGTATCATCATTCGGTGCTGTATGGTTCGAATCAGATGCATGGAGCGGAGGAGTTGCCAACACTACCAGTTCTTCCAGTTCCTCCGCTTGGTTTGTTGTTAATTCCGGACAAACTGTATCCTCTGCTGCATTACCTTCTACAAGTAGTTCCGCGCAGTACGGTTTGGGAGTTGCGGGAGTTTCAGTATTCTCATTGGGTAAATATAGACTTGGCATCGATGGTGGTGGCATGGACATTGTTTCCTAAATGTTTAAAAGTTGTAGTGTCATCATTTCAATATTTTTTTTTAATTTTAACTTACCTTAACCTTCTTTATGGGAGGCTCCAGGGTGTATGATTTCGACTCAAATTTAGCCTTTGTTTTTGGAGGGCGAGCTCGCGTTCCCTGAGCCATATTTATAGCATCTTCTGAATCCGTTACCATTTCCAGTCGATTGACTTCATCCTCTGCTAGCTTATATGTTTTTGTTTGCCCAACTATTTTACAGGCCTGTTTGGTCCAGACACAGAAATCCGGCTCCGTACTTTCGTTTGTTGAAAGCGAAATAAAGTTGTTCGGGGGCCACCATACTTGATTTTTAACGACCCATTTCGAGGGTACAATCGTTAATATCGGCTTACTTTTTTTCGTTTTTCTTGTTTGAACAACTAAGAACGCCATTTTTGACACTGCACTTGCAAAACTGAGCTCTGACGAACAAAATTATTTTAATTTCGAAGAACTCGCTTGTTTTCGTCAACAAGTCATTATGAAGTATTCAAGATGTTTCCAATACCAAATTTTAACTTTTAAAAAAACAAGTTGTAGTTTATGTTATAATCACGTTATAAAAATGTACGTAATACTTTACAAATACTTCTTTTAAAACTAACTACATGGAAATACTACCACATAATTTGTTGAAGGCGTTCCAATCGAATTACAGTGCTGGCTGAAAAAAAAATGATATCTGGAAACCAGGTGACTGATTTACCTAAAATAAATGGTTTCTCAATGGGATAGTACATACATATGATCGTGTAAACTGGTCTTAAATTTGGGATGATCTTTTCATTTCATACCAATATAGCGTGATATATTATAATCTTCATATACGTTTTACTAAAGAGGGTCTAGTATAAGAGAGGAGCGCACTTGCTGATTTTGAGTCAAACTCGATCCAATCGAGCAGCGCCTATCTTGATTGCATTGGCAGTGTTGCTAGAAATCACCTAGGCATAGGGTGCCAGGGTAGTTTTGAATTCGTCCAAGTATTTACGTAAGTTTTTACCAAACCAGCAAATTGTGACTGTATGGAACTCGATATCTGAGTTTAAACTGGTTTTTATCCGCATGTTTTTGCTACTGAACGTGTTTTGAAACGTGAAACTGGTATTTCTCAAATACACAAATGTAATGCTACTTGTTGAAAAAAAAACACAAAAAAAACTTGGTTGTAATAAACACCAGGGCAAGTTGAAACGCGTGGGGAAGTTGAAATGGATAGCGTATCTTTTAACGGAAGTGAATATTCACTGTGATTAATTGTCAGCGGCATTGTGTGCTAGCGCTAACTACTGTATTTAAAATAACCACAATGACTATTCACTCTCCCTACGAGATACACCTTTCAATTTTAACCTCCCCATAGGTTTCAACTTGTTTCGGACCGGTGTACCTTACTTCAAATGCTTTCATATCCTGCGTGTGAACAAAATTGAAATTGAAAAAATCGCGTAAAAACAGAATTGAGTGTAACGTAATTATTCGGCATATTTTAACCATAATAAGCTATAAGCTAACATTTTATTCTTTCTGTCATTTTTCTATAAGATTTTTTTTCAGTTCATTTATTTGATAAGACTCAACTGTTTTATAAAAACTGTACCGAGCTAAAAAAACAATTCTACAATCAATTAAAAACACTTTCGAAGCAGTCGCGTAGGGGGGAAGTTCTTGTGATATATCTTGATTGGCGATTCATCGTGTACATATTAAAATAATTTATAATTTTCAACTCCAAAGTGGAACAGTTTTTTACATATAAAATTAATTTTGAAACAATCTAATTTTTATGAATTTAATGAATAAAAACTTAATTATAAACATTCATGTAAATTTTTATCTCACTTCGTGTAAAAATCATTAAGTTTTAATTTTTTAATTGAAATTCACTATGCTATGCACAATCACAGATGAATGTAAACTGTAATGCATGATGGGGTTTTATATGCATTCATGTAAAGAAAAAAAAAATGATTGCTGATTGTTTAAATTAAGGTGGGAAAACCATCAAACAATATGTAAATTTATAATGTTTTGCTGCGTGTTCTTTTTACATGCAATGCTTTTCGATATAATAACAACGCGTGCCGATTTTCACTCAAAATGGTCATCTCTGATATGTTGAAACTTTATTCTCTCATGATTAATTAAGATGCAACCTTCAACACAGAACTACAAAAATGTGCTTTTTTGTGATTACTAAATAGCAAATCTTTTGAAGCTGGAGTAGCAAAAAATACATCAATAGATAGAGCAAGATTGATCTCAATATAGAATTAAACCCATATCACTTAGATTCATATGTTATTTTTTATTCAATTGTAAAAAATAGCGCTTGTTTTCCGATGATTTGAGGTGACTGCTCTTGAATTAAAAAGTTTTTTTTTTCAATTTTGTTTATTTGGCAGGCTCAAATGTTAAAAAAATAACTTAGCAGAGCCGAGTAACATGGAATACCAATTTTGGTACTTAAAATACAAACAAAAGATATACAAATGCATATTATTAAAGGATTTTCCTTGGTGGCGATCGAAGCGGTGACAAAGCGATCTTCTCCCGTGCACGCAACTTCTTTCTTTCCCGAATTTGTTCCTCATTTTCGTTGAACCCGAAACGTGATCGCTGCTGCTGCATCTGAACATCGTTTCCCGTTGCATGCTCTCCGCTACTCTCGTCGGTCGTCGGGGTCGTCTCGTCCATTTCGTTATCTTCATTCAACATCTCCAACCCCGTGTCCGTTTCCTGGTCGCTAATGACAAACGACGCACCTTCCACCGCTACACCAGCATACGTACTGCTGCTGTTTTGTTTTCTTTCACTTTGCTTTCCTTTTTCCTTTAGTTGCTTCTCCGGTTCCTTCCGAGCCTTCCGCTTGGGACAGGAAAGCTTCCGGTGTCCGTCCGCCTTGCACAGAAAACATTTATCTTTGTTGCCATCATAAAATATATTTCCTTTGCGGTTGAAGAAATACAATGACGTGGGGATTTCCTTCTTCACATCCATATATATACCGCGTATCCCTGTATCCCCTCAAAGCACAGATCAGATGGAAATTTCTCCCGGATGATGCGTTTAATTTTTCCATATTTCCCCAGCACTTTATCCAGCTCGTTGTCCGGTACCTCTGGTGGCAAGTCATACACACGCACATACTGGATAAATTCACCAGCATGCGACATGCGTACCTTTGCCGTCGTTCCATTCGCATAATGGAAGATTAAATCCTCCGAATTGTATGTCAGAGCATGGAGCATCGCTTCCTCTGATCTGAACTTTATGAAGACTCCCCTTTCCTCACCAATGCGATAAACAGCTTCCATTTCAGCCGGATCCGCGTCGAGTGCTTTGGCGAAATTTACAATCTCTCCGATGTTTGGTTTAGCATCA